GCCCAGCTCTGATTCAACGTGATTTATTTGAAAGGAAAGGAAAAAAAAATCTGTCGTTATGAGTTTATTCGATTGAAAAACGTTGAACACGATGATTCAAATGATCGACGACGTAGAGATTGCCATGTCGATCGAATGACAAACCAACGGGATAGTCGAACTGATTTGATCCTTCTCCTTTACCATTTCCACCCAATATGACAGTGCCCTGTTTCTCTCCTTTAGGCCAACGCATCACTCGATGATTCCCCGAATCTGTTACATAGATGGTATCCAATGTATCGACGAACAGTCCTTCAGGATACGACAATTGTGTCAGAGCATTCCCTTTGCCTTGACCTCCAGCGACGACAATTCCTTCTTGTGCACCTTTATTCCACTTCATTACACGATGATTGTCGCAGTCTAACACATAGACAGTCTGTTGTTGATCGACAAAAATGTAGGTCGGAAAGTTGAGTTGATTGAGACCAGCACCTTCGCCATTCCCGCCAGCCACGATTGTTCCATTCTTATCTCCTATTTGATATTGTCTTACTGCATGTTTCTTGTAGTCAGAGATGTAGAGATATCTCTGATCATCCATGGCTAATCCATGACAATGAATGTTGTCAATGAGGATTTCTCCTTGAGTTATGCCACTACGACGAGACCATTGTACGACTCGTCGATTTCCTTGATCGCAAATAATGAGACTATCCGTCTCTTTGTCGATCAACACATTGGTTGGATAATTCAATTGATCCAATCGGTTTCCTTGGCCATGACCACCAGCTACTACTTGTCCATTCTTATCACACATCTTCCATTGAATGATGCGATGATTGTAGAAGTCAGCGATGACAATCGTTTGATCATCATCAACGAAGAGACCGTAAGGGTTGTTGAGTTGATTGGTGGCATTGCCCCATCCATGGCCTCCAGCAACAGTCACTCCATTCTGTGCCCATCGAGCATCGATTGGAATATTGGAAATTACTACAATGAACGAAAAAGAAAAGAAATCGTCGTTGTCGAAGAGATCCCGTCTCTTGTGGGAGCAAGCGCTACAAATATGATATTCATCTTTGAAAATTCTGGTTCCTCAGATAAATATTCAGAAGTTTTTTCTTAGTTTCCTATAAAAAAAGAAGGATTTCATAACGATTCCTACATCTATGTCACTTTTAGTTCTTGCCAAGATCTTTTTGATCCTAAAAACAACACCTGGAGGTTGTTGTAAGGAGATTTGTCCGAGAAAGGGTAATGCTAATTCACTGTAAGCTTTTGATAGAAAAACATAGAGATCTGAACATTCTATTCGAAATTGTGAGAATGCAGAATCTTTTGTAGGATGATTATTTATATGAACATCAGACAAGAATTTAAGTAATGAAATAATGAACTATGTGAAACTCCTAAACTGAGAAAATCCTGAGAAGATTCTATTTGCATCTTGTTAGGAGGATGCCAAATCTTATTCCTGTTGTTGAAGAACCTTGAGGATTCAGCATGCATCTTTGAGGATACTTTTCACGTCGTCGGACAAAAATCCCGGTCACAGAATTTTCTGGATGGTGATTGCAAATCTAGTGAAGCATCTCCTTAACATTGGCATAGTGCATGCATGTAAGATTTTATTAGACTTTGCGTGCAGAGTTATTTCTAGCACTTCGATGAGAAAACTTGACAGGATCCAGATGGATCTATAGAATTCGATGACTTATAATTTTAAAATGCTGAGAAGAGAAATGCTAATCTAATCGAAGCTCTGCATAGGATAACATATGGATATGTAGATTTTATACGTAATTTAGAACGCGTGGATTTAAATTAAATAGTCAGAATTTGTTTTTGATAGATGCGTAATTGAATTCTTTGCAAACTTGTATCTACCTTCATTTAAAACAACATGAAAATATGAAAAAAAAACATTTCAACATGTAAATAAACGATTGAATCATTAAAATGTACTGTTTTACAAACTTAAAATAGTTGATATACTAAATTATTCTAAAGAGATAAAACACTCATGACACCTTCAAGCACTTGAAATCGAGCAAAAAAATTCATAAAAATGCATTCTTTTTTAATTTTAACATTTCCATCATAAAATTTATATTCATATT